TAAGTAAAAAATGGAAAAACCATGTAAAATAATAAAAATATAATACATTTTCCTCCTAAAATCCCCTTAAATCGTCCTAAATATTCATTATAATAATAATGCCATTTTCGAAAAAAAAAGAATAAAAAATCAGAAAAATCACAAAAATTCAACTTAAATTTCGTCTGATTTGATGGTTGGAGACATGTTTCTATTATAAAAAGCAAAAAAATCAGAAAAATTCAACTTAAGTTTCGTCCGATTTGATGGTTGGAGGCACGTTTCTATTATTGATAAATTGTATGACTGCTTGAGCAAAAATTTAAATATTACTTTTTTTGAAAAATAAATAATTATATTTTGTTGCTTGTATATTGCTATGTTTCAAGAACAATTTTTAAAATAAAGTGGGGTCTTATGTACCACTAGTTAAAATTCACAAGCTTGATTTATATTTGTGAATATATACACATACACATTTAAAAATTCAAAGTAAATTCTTTATTATATTTTTGTAAAGTAATACATGAGAAAGGGCCGACCGATATTGAAGTAGATCACATGCTGAATACATTTACGTTATTTATTTTATACGAGATATTAACTAGCTATTATAAAACTTTCGAGTTTCATATGTATTTTTATCACATCAATAAATTCATGTTCTCTATACACCTTACTTAGTATTTTTCTTAGTAGTATTTTTCTTAATGTTTTTCTTCCTATCACCTGATTTTTTAGTAGTAGTTTCAGAGATTGTGGGAGGTAAGATACGAGGATCGCAAAAATATTTGAACTTTTTTGGTGAATCAATCAACGGATCTGAATCATTCACTTTGGCTTTGCGTATAATTTCCACAGTTTGATTCATTCGCAACTATTTTGTTAAAGTGAAAGTATATAGGAGTGTTTCTAGGAAAATCAGGTTCTGAGAAATTTTTGACTAAAATAAAGAGCTTAATACATTTTAATCTAATAACATCAAAAACTAAAATGCAATAAAAATCTCAATTTTGCTAAAAAATTCCCAGAACCTGATTTTCCTAGCAATCAACCCATATGCGTAAAATGCAGTATTAAAAGTAGCATATACAGTATATTACAAAGCAAAGAATGATTTACTTACAACTATTTTTAATACCCTATTCATGCAACCAATCAGCTCATTCACAACAAATTCTTTAGAATACATCATATTATAAACCTAGAGATATCAAAGTGATTTAAAGAAGTTAATAAAAAAAAATCTTGCACATTAATATGATAATATTGGATTCATAAACCTTGGTAGAGATATAAAGTTGGTAATCGACCAATCTAGTAACATACGTATCTATATGATTGTCTAGCAAATAAAAATGAATTTTAGGCATCTAAATTATTTATGTATTTTCTTTCTAATTTAAATTCATGACATACCAGATATCACAAAGGCCATAAAATCCATCTCAAAAATCTTCTCCTTCTTTGAAGTGGGAAGATTATCATATGTATAATAGATTTCATAGATATTTTCCCGAAAGCTCTTATTTGTGTTTAGATTGTATTTATCTGTATCTTTTACTATACTATCTTTAGCAATCTCAACATTTCCTATTAAGAAAACACCGTATAAGAATGAAAGTTTAAGTCACATTGAGCTATTTAACATCAGCATACTCACCAGGTTCAATCTTGAGAATATCATCGCGAAAGTAAATATCTAGCTGTTTTTCATGTAAATTTGTGTCAACTGTATGCAATGCAAATGATGAACTCTCAGAGGATGAACCAGCTCAGAGAGCGCGAAAATATTGAAGGGCCAAGCGATCAATGAGAGAATAATAAATTGATGCTGATTTATGACTTTCGCTATTTATTTTGATTAAGGGATTCTTTGAAGATAACTCTATATAATCTAGCCTAATATAAGGTCGTAGTTAATCATTAACAAATAATTCTAGTCTAGTTTAATATAATAATGCAATTAAAACAAATAAATCAATTGAATCAATTATTACCAGTTATCAACAGTTGACAAGATCCATTTCTTTTGATAAAAAAGTAGGTCATCAAGATTTAACTGTTGTTGCATTGATAATTGCATTTCTCTTAATGATCGTACTGTCTGATTATTCGTTAATTTTTTGAACATGTTTTTTAATTCCGTCGATGGTTCCACAGCACCATGAGAATAACAAATTTCCACTAACTTCTCGAAATCTTTCACTTTCATATAATTTAAAAGCCAATCATCGTCTCTATTAAGAATGAGATGATTCCCATTCCAGAAACTATTGTGAGGTACGCCACCCAGAAGATTTTTTACATTCACACCACTTTTGAGTATAAAGCGTGGTCTTAGATAAGAAGTTTGAAACATTAAAGATTTTTTTGATAACTGTGGTGATTGAAGTGGTGTTGGACTTGATGGAGCCCACGAGTCACTATCTTCATCATCCTGGTTTTTTTCGTCCTTATCCCCTATCTTTTGGCATTTGTAATGACCTTTGGAATCATCGATCTCATAAACTGGAGATGCTTCGATAGTTATCTAAAAAATTAGAAAGATTAATTATTTTTCCTGAAGATCTTTCTGATATCCTTAACTAGATGTATTATTGTATAAACATTTACCCTTTTATAATCATCTAAATTATAGCCATCAGCATTAAGAAGATATTCATTATTGTGCTATTGATAAAAAAGATGGATATAGTTATTGTTACTTAGCATAAATAATTTTAATTGAGTAACTTACCAATTGGTAAAACATTTTATGGTCATGTTCAGTCTAGTTGAGAAAAGTGTAAGTTGTAAGTTATTCTTCAAAACCAATTCAAAATACGACTGCATGATAAACTTACACGAACAGTAAGTATGGGAGAGAGCAAAGAAATAACTTGATGCTGGGACTCGCATTAAATGGCCTAGGATCCACGTACTCCCTCCCTATTTGATAGCATCATTTCATTAATTTTTTTTGATTCTGTAAGTTATTTTTATATCAATAAAACTAATAAAACTGACCCTGGGATATCGATTTCACATATATAAATGCATACCTTAAAATCAGGCGAATCTTACGCTTTTTGGATTCTTGGAGATTTTGATTATTTTCTAATGAGTCAAGAAACCCTCACCCCTGTGAATTATCACTTGGGGAGTGGTTAGGGACTGAACCCAGTCTTTCAATTCAAACATCATAAAACGTGAGTTCTGATGGAAGCATAGACCATAGCATATGATATTGCCATTTTTACGTAAAGCAGAGATAGTGCATCACCGGTTAGGGACTTAACCCAGTCTTTCAATTCAAACATCATAACGTGAGTTCTGATGGAAGCATAAACCATAGCGACAATGCAAGTTTCTTGACTTCATTGATCAGACATTAAAAAAATTTTGGACCAATTGATTGATATCACTATCTAGGTTATACCAGATAATGATTGGATGATTTTCGCGTTTTTCTCAATCTTCAACATGAACAGTTGTCTTATAAGTTATAATTTACAATGGACAGAACCAAAAAATCCGAAAGTACTTCTGAGAGGTAAATGTTATGAATAGTTGCTTTTGCTTTTTATGTTTTTCATGTTAAATTCATAATTTCTTTCAGTTCTTTTCAAAAATGCCAGAAAAAACTATACAAAGAAGCTCAAAAACAGGAAGTGATTCAGGAGACAAATGCCACTCGACAATTTCGCACTCTTGTAAGTATGATAGTCAGTCAATACGAAATTTCTCAGGAAAAATTTGTAACATTTGCCATTCTCATCAACTAGACCAAGCATGTGAATATATAGTCTGTGAGGGTGAGAGTGATATAGATAGACGAAAATTCTGTAGACATGGGTGGGATAATTTATTTTGAAAATCTAGTGTAGAAAAAGAGTATAGGGATGAGAATCTTGTAATTAGAAATATTAGCAATAGAAACAAATTAGCTATAGATACTGTATTTTTCGTAAACGTCATAAAAGAAAACTTCTTCGAGATTAAGTAATTTCGAATCTACAAGCATAAATTCGTGAGATTAGCAACTGATGTAAAAAAAAATAATATTTCTGATTTACACTTACCATTACTATTAATTTTCGCAACATTCCATTCCGCCTGAAATTTATTACTTAATGCATTGCAATAAAGGTAATTCGATTTTTTTATTGCCATTATGATACTGCACTAAATATCAAGAATTTGGCACGTGAAGATGGTTATTATTGAAAATTTATTAGACACACTGTGCCAAATTTTATTGAGGAGCGTGATGTTAAGGCATGTGACAAGATTCATGTGAATAGTTTCACTGCGCCTATTATACGCGTGATGATGGTCAGTGATTTTCTCAGCGAAGATCAAAATGCCAATATATAACAAGAAGAGCAATATGTCCGTTTTATTATGGAACATCTATAGCGGAAGATCGATTAAGATTGTGGTGACATGTTTTCAAGAAGCTAGTCGAGCAATAAAATCAACATACCTTATTATTGCTTTGCGAAATATACTCGTTTGATTGATTGA